ATCCGGTTCGTCGTGGTTCTAAGCACGTTGTATTGTAGATTATCCTTTTCCTTTTAACGATCGACCTTGAATGTGGCTAGTTACCTCTCCTTTACTCTCAGGCTCTGCTGCCTATACTATACTGATTACAATTTTAATGATGTAATTTTTATACTTTCAAGTTCAAGGACATCGCACTCGGATGATTAAAATAGTATTTTTTTTTTCTATTGTAGTAGTTTGTGTACAGGGTGGCTCAAAGTTACTGGTGCATAAAAAAAATCTCACACAAACACAAAAGCCCCACAGTCGAGTATTCAACTCTCGATATTTCAAGACATCAACGACCGGGGCCGGGGAGAATTATTGACCTCCGCTCGGATGTAGTCAAGGTTATTTTTGTTCTTTGTTGTACTTGTACCTAGGTGACCCAAACCGACGTGGTCGCCTCGTCCCTGGGTTGCTACGTGCTTCGTTGGTTTCGGTTTTGAATTTATACACCTATTTTAGGTGTCATTTTCAAGCTTGTTGTACAATAATGTATCTCTCCAATAAAGGACATCACTATTCAGTCAAATATCTCTCTAATAGATGGCGTAATTTGTTATTTCAATAATTAATAAAGGGGCACTATTTCTGTTTGCCATTGACCTGGGTACGTACACTTTGCCCCCAAAAAACACCAGTGGGTAGGCCAAAACAACAAAACACACACAAAGATTTATATTTTTGTCTATTTACATTCCGAAAATACGAGCGGGAATTTTTAAAATTAACCTCCAGGAGAGAGAGAGAGAGAGAGTCGCGAGCCAATAACCTCCCGGATCAAATAAATTATAAATACGTTGGCAAAAGATCCAATTAAAATCTGGAGTATTTACGTTGATTGAATTGGCGCAATGTATAAAATATTCAATCGATAATAATTTTGACCCTTTTTACGAGTTTTGATTAATCTAATACTGAACTTCAAACAATTATGATGTCACAAGACAGTATGTGGTACCTAAACCAATAAGATTATAATTTTAAACAAATAATCAGGAGTTTTCCTTTGAAGCTGGGATGAAAATCTTTATTAAATTTCTTTGTAAGGATATTAGGGTGGAACAAAAAAAAAATGAGCACGTAATTTCGTAATCAAACGAAGTAGCCAAACATTTACATTCTCTAGAGTTTCTTGCACGGAAAACACAATTTCATTTGAGAACGTGACCGCATAATTAGCTCAGGAAAAAGAGCATTTTCCACTGTTTCTTTTGATTAAAAAAATAAAGGATTGTTGATATTATATACACAGAATTCTACGGCCAGGGTTTTTCTAAGAAGTTTTAAGCTGTAGTAAAATGTTTACCTGCCCTAAATGAACTATAAAGGGATTTTTGGTTGGGTTATTTTTGGAAATAACCCTTAATCCTCTGGTTTTACACTGGTCAAAAGCTTGAATGCCAACAGGTAGAAATTTTATTGGAATTTTTAAAGTGGGTATTTTGAGAAAATTCACCCAATCTCTTACCAGAAGCTGAGTTGTGACATTGAAATTTTATGAATTTTTGTACTGTTGAACTAATTCAGAGCGCTACCTACATCTAAAATCCTTAGAACAGAAAAAACTAGAGTAGATCCGGAACCGGGAACAAAGAACTGTAACTCAAAATTCGGAATTTAGTGATCCGGGCATAATATAAAATTCAGGGTAAGTTCTCTAAGCGCAAGAGAAAATTTTAAGTTTTAAATTTCTTGTTCCGAAAATGTCCCTGGTGCAATAGAATCCTTTTTCTTTTTCCTAAACTGATTCAGAAGCCCTTACTCGATAAATCCTGAAGCTTCGAATATGTTCTTATGCCATTTGGTTCAAAGAATGCCCCGGCTACTTTTCAAAGAAAAAAAAACAACCGGCGCTGTTTACCATGCCAAGAATAATAATAAAAATCCGGTCTTTTTTGTCCCTGTACAACAGGGTTGCGTTTAGAAATAGCACTCTGAGTGTGACCCTAGAGTAACTCTAAACCGTTCATAAATTAACAGGTGCTTACTCGGAGCGTTAGGCCGGAGTCTCAAGCATCCGTTTTCCGACGAAAGATGTCCGAAAAATGTTCTATTTTGACATATTTTTATACGATTATGTCAGAATAGAAGGTTTTTCGTCGGAAAACGGATGCATGAGACTCCGGCATTACGCTGGAATCGAGAGTTGACGTGTCCAGAGTGGGCTCAAATAACCCCACTCAGGGACTGGGTTAAAAAACGCCCCGCAGTTTTTACCAAGTTTGACGTGATTTTAAGGCTGAGAATTCTTTGCGAAAAATGTGGGGAATTTAGAGGAATTTGTTGGAAATTTAGAGGAATTTGTGAGGAATTTGCAGGAACTCATCCGAATTTATGAGAATTTGGTAAATTTATAGGGAATTTGGAGGAATTTATGGGGAATTTGGGAGAATTTGCGAGAAATTTATGAGGAATTTATGAGGAATTTAAAGGAAATTGTTAAATTAAAAAAATTCAAAAGAATAATGAATACAGTTTTTGTAGGCTGATTTCCAAGATTCTTCATGTTGTTATTTTCCACTGAAAAAATTTGAAATTTTGGGAAAATGAGCTTCTCACCTTCCTCTCTACATGCAAAAATTTTCAAAATTTTCCCTTTACTAGTTTTCCGGGAAAACTTTGAAATGTGTGAAACTATATTTTCAACTTATTCAGTTTTTGTAGGTTGATTTCCAAGATTTTTCATGTTGCTGTTTTCTACTGGAAAATTTTGAAATTTTGGGAAAATGAGTTTCTCACCTTCCTCTTTACATGCAGAAAGTTTCAAAATTTTCCCTTTTATAGTTTTCCAGGAAATCTTTGAAATGTGTGAGACTTTATTTTTAATTAATTCAGTTTTTGTAGGTTGATTTCCAAGATTTTCCATGTTGCTGTTTTCCACTGGAAAAATTTGAAATTTTGGGAAAATGAGCTTCTTACCTTCTTCTTTGCATGCAAAAAGTTTCAAAATTTTCCCTGTACTAGTTTTCCGGGAAAACTTTGAAATATGCGAGATTGTATTTTCAATTAATTCAGTTATTGTAGGTTGATTTCCAAGATTTTTCATGTTGCTGGTTTCCACTGGAAAAATTTGAAATTTTGGGAAAATGAGCTTCTCACCTTCTTCTTTATATGCAAAAAGTTTCAAAATTTTTCCTTCACTAGTTTTCCAGGAAATCTTTGACATGTGTGAGACTGTATTTTCAATTAATTCAGTTATTGTAGGTTGATTTTCAAGATTTTCCATGTTGTAATTTTCCACTGAAAAAATTTGAAATTTTGGGAAAATGAGCTTCTCACCTTCCTCTCTACATGCAAAAAGTTTCAAAATTTTTCCTTCTCTAGTTTTCCAGGAAAACTTTGAAATGTGTGAGACTGTATTTTCCACTTATTCAGTTTTTGTAGGTTAATTTCCAAGAATTTTCATGTTGCTGGTTTCCACTGGAAAAATTTGAAATTTTGGGAAAATGAGCTTCTCACTTTCCTCTTTACATGCAAAAAGTTTCAAAATTTTCCCTTCACTAGTTTTCTAGGAAATCTTTGAAATGTGTGAGACTGTATTTTCAATTAATTCAGTTTTTTTCATGTTACTGTTTTCCACTGGAAAAATTTGAAATTTTGGGAAAATGAGCTTCTCACCTTTCTCTTTACATGCAAAAAGTTTCAAAATTTTCCCTTCACTAGTTTTCCAGGAAAACTTTGAAATATGCGAGACTGTATTTTCAATTAATTCAGTTATTGTAGGTTGATTTCCAAGATTTTCCATGTTGCTGTTTTCCACTGGAAAAATTTAAAATTTTGGGAAAATGAGCTTCTTACCTTTTTCTTTATATACAAAAAGTTTCAAAATTTTCCCTTTTTTTAGAGGAATTTGTGAGGTATTTGGAGAAGTTCGTGGTGTGGTATTTGTGAGGTATTTGGAGAAGTTCGTGGTGTGGTATTTGGAGGAATTTGTGATGGGATATCTGGAGGAATTTGTAGGAATTTTGAGGAATTATGCGTGAAAAATTCCCCTTTGAGGAATTTTTTGCACCAATTCTGGGATGGTGGCTGACCCCTTGGTAATTCATGACATTGACATTTACCGCAACGCCCCAATACGTCCAGAAATAGGGCACCCAGAGTGCAATCCAAGTGATGACGTCAGAACACTTTGACACACAACTTCTCTACCTTCACACTCCATTTCTCGCACTCCAGATGTTTTTCCACTCTATCCGAAGTGTCAATGGTTCAAATGTCATTTGCCTCGCACAATGATACAAAAAGCGTACTCAAAAAATCCTGAAAGTTAGAATATTTGTATGCCATTTGGGTCAAAGAATACCCCGGCTACTTTTCAAAGACTCATGAATGCCACCCTCTAATTTAGATCATTTATGTGAATGAATATGACACTCAAAACAACATCACAAGGTACATTTGGCCAATCCTTAAACTGGTACGCATTTTCCCATTATGTTGTGTAAATCGACCCTTAACAATGACAAAAAGGGTCAAGCCAGTGTCATATTTAAACCAATCATAACATAAAAACATGTTGCATTTACTTTTGTTCAGCTTTGACGTTGACAAAAACTGTCTGACCTAAGTTTTTCAGAAGAGACTTTTTGTTGTTAAGCCTGGCTCACACTAGGCAAATTTGAAAAATTTATATTGCTTGTACCAGTTTTATGTTTGGCCAAGTGTACAATGCTAGAAAGACCCTACTCAATAAATCCTGCAAGTTTGAATATATTCGTTTGCCATTTGGTTCAAAGAATGCCCCAGCTACTTTTCAACCAACCTCTGATAAAAGAATATTTTAATCATTTGTGTAAATGAACAAGACACTGAAAACAACAACACAAGGTATATTTATAGTTTGCTTGAACTCTTAAATATTTCTTCTCACCTTTTTCAACCCATTCATCTAACGCTAGACAGAAGTAATTAATACCAGAAATGCCTAGTAATTTGCCTTATTGATTTATATTATTCTCTTTTGATTTCAGGTAAGGAGACAAACAAATTTACACGGTGACACTCTGTGTAAAAACGCTAAACGTAAGTATTTATTTTTTTGATTTTCCAAACATGTAAATGTTTTACGTTATTTTCCCTGAGTCACGCAAAAAAATTGGGGGGTTGTTGCACAACAATTATTACTGCATTATTTTGAATTAAAAATTACGATCGTCGACCCTGAAAACTAGCCGTCATTGAACTATTCCCGGCTCACGGTTTAGGCCAACCACCTTCTTCTTCTCTTTCTTGTTCCAATACTTCTTGGGGCATTATAACGTCCCTTCTTTTTTTACCTGGCTCCTATTTTTATTATTTGAATTTCTCAAGAGGAATTTTCGAGGGTTTTATGTGTATGGGATTTCGAAAAGGGCTTTATTTGCCCTCTAGGGAGAGAGAGAAAAAAAAAAATTTATTGCATGAGATATTTGAGTTTTCGGTGCAGATTTGTAACAAAATCGCTTGTGAAGCACATACACACAAACACACGTGTGCGAGTTAAAAATACCGACCCTGAAAATACATTTTTGGCCTTGGGTGTGCTGGTACAATAATTCCCTGGAAAAAAAGACATATTGGGAACGCGAATTAGTGGAACGCCAAGAATAGACTCTTTGACTTTCTGGATCGCATATGTGTGTGTGTTATGCAGTGATACTTTGTTGTTTCATAATGTATTTTGAACCTTAAATTTTGTCTCCCAAGCAAAAATGTGTCACCTGATTGGGAGATCACACATGATACAAATCCAGGATTTTAAAATTAAATTTTGGGTCTTAGACTTAGCATAATGTCTATCGTTTGTAAAACTCAATGGTACCCTTGCCTAATGTCTATCGCTTGTAAAACTCAATGGTACCCTTGCCTAAGCGCTACAAGTGTGCCAACTGAGACAAAATATCGGTTCGAAATGCCATAGAAAATGACAGATTTGAGTGAATCGAATTCTGCATAAGTCCGGTGAACCGGTGTTGTGCTGCAATCCGGCGCTGGCAGGGGACGGCCAGACGCGTCGCGACGCTTTCACGATCAATGTCCCGCCGGTGCCGGGCTTGTGAACTGGGGGGCCAGCACGTTGTTGCCTAGGAAACGCGCCGGCGAGGGGTGCAACGCACCCCCACCATCGGCTGCAACAAGGTGGCTGACATTCCCTCTTGCCTCCACCCCGGAAGCGACTGGCTAAACTTTACTCCCTCACACATATACAGTGGGAATTTTATTATTAAGAGGGTTTTTTTTGTGATACACTAAGATTATTATTTGGGTGGGGGGGCTCTCTTCTCTCTCTGCCAGACTGGAATAAATTACGAGTCCAGACAAATTAAATTGGTGTTTTTGCATTTTAATTGGCAGCCAGGGGATGGGAAAAGTTGGACATGATATTTGGGGATAAGTTTTATATTGTCCTCTCACATTAACAGACTCTTATCAGTATTAATTTGGACAGAAAACTGTAATATCATGTGTCATTTAACCTTTGCATATGGTCAACAGATGGCGTTATTCGCACCTGCGCACTTTTAAATTTTTCATAGTATTTTTCAAGTTCAATTAGAGAAAATGTCATAACTTTGCTTTTGAACCAAATATCGACTTCAAATTTGTTTTATCTTATTGAGAAGTCTTCAAATTATGATTTTTGAAAGTTTGAAGCTGCACAAACAATTGGCTTATTTTTGACAGCCTGTCAAAACAATTTTTCATAAAATTTTCCAAGTTGAATTAGAAAAAATGTCATAACTTTGCTTCTGAACCAAATATCGACTTGAAATATGTTTTATCTTATTGGGAAGTTTTCAAACTATGATTTTTGAAAGTTTGAAGTGTTAAGATGTCATTGACTGTCACATATTCTCACTCGAGTGTGAGCCAATCAAAAAGTCTAGGGGAAAAGAGTATAATTTTGAGAGTCAGACGGATGTCTGGCGGTATTTTCGCTCGTCCCTTAAGAAGCCAAGGCAACGGCCCCTTTTTTCCCCTCCCGCCGAATGGCCGGGTTCAACTGGCGCAACAACTTTTATTGTCCGATCAGATTCGCTTCTCTTTCCCATTCAAAAACCGCGGTGGTTTTGTTTTTGCTGCGCCGGCAAATTATTCTTTTCTTTGTCTTTGTGTTATTTTTTACGATTTCTTGCAGATTTAGTTGGGAAATGAAGGAAACTTCTCTATTTGAATAGTTAAATCTTGCAAAATGAGGCTCCAAAGTGTTGGTTTTAGAATTCTTGGATGTCGAATTAGTATCGTCTTATATTGACGTCAGCAGAATCTCAAATCTTCATTCTTGTTCTCAAAGTCTCTGGCCTTAAATCATCAGAAAGTTCAGATTCCTGATAATCTTTCAGTTGTCTTTGGTCCTTGATCATGATCCTTGAGCCAAAGAAATTTTACAGAGAATAGGATTGTTCCAAACTATCCCAAATTTATTTCGTCATAAAGTTTTTCGTACTAGTCAACTGTACCTTTATTTTGTTGAAAGATTTGTGTTGTTCTATGACCCAAATAAATTCAACATCCCATTTTAGAGGTTTTCGCAAAGGATCTGTAAGCTCAGACATATTTGGTATGAATTTATTCAAATATGTTATCATGCCTAGCATCATCAATTTCAGTACCATTTTCCGATAAAATATGCCCAAGAAATTTAACTCTTTTAACATTGAAAATGCATTTTTCCTTATTGAGTTTCAATCCATTATTTTTGTAGTAATTTTCTCTACACCTTCTTGGGAGTCGAAATAAATAAGAATATTGTCCCTTGAGCAGTGAGTGTTGGGAATGTTTTTTAACAAGGAACTTATTAATTCTTGAAATATCTCTAGTGCTGAACAGATTCCAAATGGTAGACGAGAGCAACTATAACGCCCCCATGGTGTTGAAAACGTGAGATATTTTTGAGACTTTTATTTGCCAAAACCCTCGTTTGTAATCTAAAAGTGTAAAATATCTGGCTCCACGTATTCGTGCTGAAATTTCTTTCATGGTTTTCAGCGGATAATATCTTCTTAAAATGTTTTTGTTAACATCTGTAGGATCTTTGCAGATTCTTAATTTACCTTTTTGCCTAACAGCGAGTTCCGCAGCCATCTATTCACCAAGATTAGTTCAAAAACTACACTTTTCAGGTGAATGTCTTACTTGAACAGTTCAACAGTATATTGGTGATTAGATGGCTGCGGAACTCGCTGCGCTCGTCCCGCAGAGGTTCACCCATAAGTTCCGTAACAATTCACTTATTTGTACTTGAACAATAACTTATTATATAGTCAAAATTTGTGAGATTATTTACTTTTTGTCAATTTGCCTTTCAACAGGAATTAGTAATGCTACTTTACCAAACTAGTAACATAATGTGGCAAGTTATTCAAAAACAAATGAGTGGATTGTTGCGGAACTTATGGGTGGTCCCATCTATTTACCGATATGCTGTTCAAGTTCAATACTAACTTGATTCTCTCAATTGTGAGTTTTTCTCATTAGTTCAAAAACTACACGTTTCAGGTGAATGTCTTACTTGAACAGTTCAACAGTATATTGGTGAGTAGATGGCTGCGGAACTTAATGCGCTCGTCCCGCAGAGGTCCACCCATAAGTTTTGCAACAATCCACTTATTTGTACTTGAACAATAACTTATTATATAAAGTCAAAATTTGTAAGATTATCCACTTATTGTTAATTTGCCTTCTAACAGGAATTAGTAATGCTATTTTACTAAACTAGTAACATAATGTGGCAAGTTATTCAAGTACAAATGAGTGGATTGTTGCAGAACTTATGGGTGGTCTTCTGCGGGACGAGCGCAGCGAGTTCCGCAGCCATCTATTTACCAATATGTTGTTCAAGTACAGCACTAACTTGATTCTCTCAGTTGTGAGTTTTTCCCATTAGTTCAAAAACTACAAGTTTCAGGTGAATGTCTTACTTGAATAGTTCAACAGTATATTGGTGAGTAGATGGCTGCGGAACTCGCTGCGCTCGTCCCGCAGAGGTCCACCCATAAGTTCCGTAACAATCCACTTATTTGTACTTGAACAATAATCTATTATATAAATTTAAAATTTGTGAGATTATTCACTTTTTGTCAATTTGCCTTTCAACAGGAATTAGTAATGCTCTTTACCAAACTAGTAACATAATGTGACAAGTTATTCAAGTACAAATGAGTGGATTGTTGCGGAACTTATGGGTGGTCCTCTGCGGGACGAGCGCAGCGAGTTCCGCAGCCATCTATTTACCAATATATTGTTCAAGTACAATACTAACTTGATTCTCTCAGTTGTGAGTTTTTCTCGTTAGTTCAAAAACTACACGTTTTAGGTGAATGTCTTACTTGAACAGTTTATCAGTATATTGGTGAGTAGATGGCTGCGGAACTCGCTGCGCTCGTCCCGCAGAGGACCACCCATAAGTTCCGCAACAATCCACTCGTTTGTACTTGAATAACTTGCCACATTATGTTACTAGTTTGGTAAAGTAGCATTACTAATTCCTGTTGAAAGAAGAATTGACAAAAAGTGAATAATCTCACAAATTTTGACTTTATATAATAAGTTTGTTGTTCAAGTATTATTCTCTCATTTAAAATGGTCATAACTGTTGAACGATTCAAGCTAGCGAGTTGCGGTTTATTTTAAATTAAAAATCAGCTCAAAATACGTTAATACAAGTCAAGAAATTGTTTGGAATTTGCTTCTATTGTTTGAAGTACAAGACTTGACAGTTTTCTAATGGTAAACATAGGATTTTAGTCTTCACTCGTTTTAAAACGGTCATAACTTTTGAACGATTCAAGCTAGCGAGTTGCGGTTTATGTTAAATTAAAAATCAGCTCAAAATATGTCAATATACGTCAAGAAATTGTTTGGAATTTGCTTCTATCCTTTGAAGTACAAGGCTTGAGAGTTTTCTAATAACAAACATGGGATTTTAGTCTTCACTCGTGTTAAAATGGTCATAACTTTTGAACGATTCAAGCTAGGGAGTTGCGGTTTATTTTAAATTAAAAATCAGCCCAAAATACATTATTATACGTCAAGAAATTGTT